AGCCCCCCCCCCCCGCACACTAAAGCCACAACCATAACTCTCTCGTTCGCCCCCCTCCTCTCTCTCTCTCTATGTCTTTATGTCCCTCCCTCCCCCTCAACGTACCGTCCACTCTTCCACGGTTCCTCTCCCCCTCATCGTTATTGAGATGAGGAAAATGTTATTACGCACGAACGTCATTGTTCGTGCGAGGTGGAATCACATTGTCGATCTCTGCAGTCTCCCATCCTTGCCCCTGCACTGCGATGTCTCGCTTTAAGAGAATCGCTCGCTCTCCCTTTTCTTCGTTTTATCCGAGAATTTCCTTGTAAAAGAAGGACTAGCTAGAAAAATACGTGACCCTCGAGCGCGCTTTTTCAAGTTTGCCATTGTAATCATTATAGCCACTTGATTCAGCTCTCCTTTCCTTTAGAATATTATTCCATAAAATTTTCGATGCATCACCGTCTACCTATTTCATGTCGGACTTTCAATAATTGTCTTCGATTGCACTCGATTACACTCGAATGTATAATCGGCTTTCAAGAATCGAGCTTGCCCATGTTGAATAACGCATTTAAATAACATTACCGTAATATTTCACCTTCTCCAGATTCTTACAGGTTAATTTACATAAGTCGACATTTCATTTTTACTTATGCATTACGAATGCATTACTTTAACATTATTAGTTATCAGCCGCTGGCACTTATTCATTAATGCAATAATAAAATTATATTGTTTTATTTATGATTTTGTCAGAGCGTAGCCATTATTCGCATTATTCGCTCGTGCACAGTTGCTTCGATTCATCCGATTTACAACATTTGACGGCAAATCGTAAAATGGCAATATCTTGTTTTGCAGTTTTAATATGTCACCGCCATGATCCAAGGCATTGCACAAATCTCTATGTGCGTGCCCCCACCCCCTGGCCGGGCAACCAGTCCCTAGCCAAAATCAAAACATCCACCGCCAACCGCTTCAATACACTCAAGTACGTGAGTGCCGATATCCTCTTTGAATCGAGAGGTAAGCCATATTATAACCGCATATAAGCACCCTCCTCTCGCCATGAAATTGATTTATACTGTCAACGGATGTCTACATACCGTACAACACTGTCAAAGCGGATTCTCACCGCCCACATTGACGCCCCAACGAGTCAACGCTTTGGTCACCTCTGCACTTTTCTTTCAGCATTGTCGAATCTCATTTAATCCGCGTGCGGCAAATAAACGCTCGTGATTTACGATATGGCGAGGAGGTTGGAACTATGTCTCGGTGAACGCGCGCGCGCGGCCTCAACTTTTAGCCAAACACCGTTCGTCGCGTGCGCGGATTTATCTTTATCGTTACGCGCAAACGATCGACTTTTTACTCGTCGCTGGGTGTCACTGGTCCCATAAATCGTCCGCCGGTCGTGCTGAGGATGAAGGGGGGGGGGACTCGTGCGAGCCAAGCACATTCATGGAGAAAACGTAAGCGAGAGCCGATTAACGACAGACCCTCGATTAGCAAAAAATCAACCAACAGAAATCAGCGGCGGACTATGCAAAATTCCGACCTCTCACCTACCAAAAACCGTGTCAGGCTATTTATCTAACACCAGATGATTAGTACATAAGCTTTCTCTTCAAACCCCCCCCCCCACCTAGCGCCATTATCCAGCCGTCCCATTACACTGCCCGACTAAAAATTCCCATTTAGCGATGAATATTGCGACGTCACAAGGCGCAGAGGATAAAAACACGGGATGCTGGCTCGAATTGGCTCATCCGAACTTCCCCGACGTTTCCTCTCACCGGTCCTCGACCCTTTGCCAATGCAAATCCAACAGATCGGTCAGCCTTTCTCGTCCCCGGCTTTTTTTATCTACTCTCTTCTCCCTCCGACCCCAATTCACCAACGGCGATCGTTAAAGCGACACGCGCCCCTTCGGACGTCATTACAGAATTTCGACTTCTTGGCGGTTGCACGTCCGAACTGCCGGGTAAAGTCAGAACCCGGACAGCAGCCCCTACGGGAGATGTTTAATAGCGTATGAAGAAAAAAAAGGAAAAAAGAAGAGAGAAAAAAAGCGAAATATAAAAAGGGACTGCGTGACGCGACGATGACTCTTGCGACATCTGCAGAGAGGATCTTAACTCGAGGAAAACGCGGGTCGAGTGCCAACTGCCTGCGATAACCCTCGCTTAACTTTGCCAATGCTATCAATGGGCCATTGGACTCGGACACTCAGCCGGGTTATGGATCCGCGCAGAAACTTGGCTCTGTGGTAAAAGCTCGCGAAGACGAGGTGAAAAGGTGCCACGGCCATAGGAAAGACTTTGCTGTCGCTAGAACTATAAGAATTGCAGCAAATTCTCATTAAAATATACCGATAATCCATCAATGTCAGCGAGGTTCGCTCTTTGACTTTTAACGGGTTAATTCTCTCCACCCTACCTATCAATTAATCAAACGTCCTATTGGCATTGAGCCGTGGTGGCGGAACGAAGAAAGGAGCTAAAGGAACCAAACCCAAGCCGTGATAAAGAACTTAGGTGGGTTGTACTTTGAGGAATCGCATATTCGGAATTGTCGCGAGAGGAAATGCGTTTCGATGGGCATGGACCAAGACCATGGTCAACTATACACAATACAACGCCGTCTTTTTCCAACAGACGATAGCCTGACGACTGATTTATCGCTGCATCGCCATGAATCTTTACGCGATTATGGGGAGGCTGACTCTCTCGCCACTCCAATTAATATAATTATCTCGGCTAGCATTACGCGGGTTTGCTACGTCAGATATATAGCGCGTGAGCAAGGCACGCGTAGCGCTATCGACACTCTCGGATTCTCAATTTATAAAATGGTGGCACTGACGCGTGCATTTGGCGTAAACTGGACAGTGGCAAAGTCTCTTTGAGCGGCCAAAGCCCTTGAGAAATACGAACGAGTCCAAGCCCTTTGGATTCTACGCAATTCATTACTTATATATATATATATATATATATATATATATATATATATATATATATGATTATTTGTACACGCCGCACGAGTTTATTATCGACATACGTCGATGCTTAATCTGTATTGATAAAAGCGTGCCTCGCGGATAAATAACGACATTGCGACAAAATGATCGCGAAAAAACGGCTCGACTTCTCCAATTGTATTGGCGAAACATTTGATTGATCGGCGTGTCGCGTTAGTGCAAAAATTTAACTTTTCTTTTCAGCCAGGGTCATGTAATTTTTAATTAAAGACGCTATTTCTCAGCGTCGACTCGGCGTAACTACGGCGGACTAAGTATCCTCTTATCGCAAAGTCTCGTCGAATGTAATGTCAAGGCCTTGAATGCCTTCGGCGCCCACTCCTACTCGCCAATTATCAATGCGAATGCAATAGCCAGGGCGACTGTTCGTTTGGCATTTAATCGGCGAGCCGAGGAGCTAGGATAGACGGCGTCGCAAGCTCGACTCCCGAGCCTCAAAGCCACGTAGATAGTGCGAGAGAGACGGCACGAATCGAACGAATCCGGCACACGCTCTACACGCTCCCAATAAAATGCCATTGCACTTGACCGTCGCTCCACTCAATGCGCCCAATTAACGCGACGAACGAGCGGTTGGTCGGGCGATTAGCGCATGCGCAAGTACGGACAAGTAAGGGAGTCGCGGCCGGCCCTCGGCTCCAGGGCCATCGCAGGTAGGAGAGGGCGTCGCGAGCCTAGGACGAGAGGCTGCAGCCCCTAGCTCGTTCCACGTGACTGACAAACCCTTGACATTTTTCCGAAACATGATGGGGTTGGTGGGGTCAATGGCGGCGGGGGGGGGGGGGGTCGTAGAAGAATTCATAGACTGGGGCGAATTTTTGCCCATTGTTTTTGTCGCGTAGCGTTAAGGCATTATGCGAATTAATATAAGGATGTCGAGGGGGAAGTGGCGAGTGGCGAGTTGGCGAGTTGGCGAATTGGCGATGGATGCGATGGGGGGAGGGGTTTGGGGTGGGGTTGTGCGGAATCGTTGGCATCGTTCGGGTTGTCGGCGTCACCGGGAGTCAACGGTAAATGGAGCCGCGACCG